TAATTGATATTAATTTCCTTATAGATTACTTAAGTATAATTTTATGGGTCCTTTTTTACAATTTTAAAGTCAATTAATAATTAAAATTAACTTCTTTAATGGTATAGTATCCAATAATTGACGAGCAAAATTGTGTCACATGAAAATTTAAAATGCCAAATGTTCCTAAGCATATAATTAATGGGTAAAAATAACTTTTAACCTTATAAAAATTAAGGGAGATCATTTTTCTCAAAGACAATACATTTAAAAGCTCCCCAATATGTCGTACCCAAACAACATCGTGCCTTTTAAAAGCTCAGAAGCACAGTCCAAATGTGGATTATGTTGAAGCATATTTCCCACTTTTCACTTCCTAGCCTCAAAGAAATACAAGTCTGACCATTATTATGTTGAATCATTTTTCCATTTTTCTTTAGCAATGGCGTCAATGTGCTGAGTAATCTTTTGTAATTGAGAATTTATTCGATTGTGGGGGAAAAAAAAAACAAACACAAGTCTCAAGCCTCTAGCTCTAGGAGTTTGATTTGGGTGTTTATCATTGTGATGAAATCTGGACCATCGAGATTTTGATCTGAATGGTCTAAATTTAAACCATTATTATATATTATATTTTTTAAAATAAAAATTTATAAAATTTATAAAATAATTTTAATATTTTTATTTTTAATATAGTCTAGATTTAATTTAAAGAGTCCAATTTAATATTAAAATTTTTAAAATTATTTTATATTAACTATCCAGATGTGCTTTGCACAATCCAAATTAACATTATATTGAATCTAGACAAAGCACATCTGGATAATTAATATACATCAATTATAAAAATTTTAATATTAAATTAGACCATTTAAATTAAATCTAGACCATATTAAAAATAAACAATTTATCAAAATTATTTTATAATTTTTATAAATTTTTATTTTAAAAAATATAATATATAATAATGAATGGTTCATTTTTATCACAATTGTGAGAACCCAAACTGGGTCCCCAGCTCTAGGCTTCTAAATAAATTCCGACACAGCATGGAGCTGGAGCCTCCACAAGCTTTTGTCTTATCAGCTCAAATTAGTAAATCACAACAGGGGAGCTCAAATCAAACCAAGCCAGTTCAGAGCCTTTCTGGCCCATTTAATACTAGTAATTAATTGAGACTAATAATGTGAAAAAAAAAGTAATTTTAATATCATGACAGGGGCATTTAAGTAAAATGAACAGTAACTACTACTTAAAAGCCAAAAAAATGCCTTATTTGTGCCAGATATTTTTTTGGATATACTTTCTTTATATAGACATGCCAGATATTGAAACAGTACTACTTGTATTCCAGGCAAATGGATAGTGAAAAAAGAATTAATAATTTATTAATACTTTTTTTTTGAAAACCAAATAATTAAAAATATTTTATATTAGAGTAAACAATCTTTTTCTTGGGAGAATGAAAAAAAAAACTCTGAAATATGCAAATGATAATTAAATATTATAAGATGTGATAATTACTATTCAGTCTCTAAAAACTTATTTGACATTTTAATTTTTGATGAAATGACACATTTTCCTTTTGTGACTATAATTCATTGGAAAATAATACTTTGTTTTGATTATTGATTCAAATGGAATATAAAATGACTATTTTTTTTTTTTGCAAATTTATTTCTCAATCAAGTGTAAGTATACAAGGAAAAGACTATTTTGGTATTGCTATTGATTAAAACAGATTAAAAAATGACTAATTCCTTTATACAAATTTGTGATTTATAAAGAGGTTAGGAATGACTACTTCTCTTTGATTGATAATTAACTTTACATAATTAAAAAAAAGTCATTTTGTCATTTATACAAATTTGTGATTTATAAAGAGGTTAAAAATTAATAACTACTTTAGTTATATTTGATTGATAATTAACTTTACATAAAAGAAATAGTCATTTTTTATTTTATTTTAATCAATAGCTCAATTAAAATAATTATTTCCCAATATATAATAATTAATGAGCACAAATATATCATTTTGTCAAAAATCAAAACAACATAAAAAGTCTTGAGAGAGTAAATAATAGTTATTACATTTTATAATTCTTAATTATAATTTAAATATTTGAATTAATTTTTTTATCACTACACTATTCAAAGTGACTTGCTTCCATTTTACATGCCCAAAAGTTACATCTGCTTTTTGATGCCTAAAATTGCAAAACTTCTTCGGTGTTCTTCTCATTATACATAGGGAGCTTAAAGCGAAGAAGCAGAAAGCCAGAATCGAAAAACGTAAAATGGGAAAACAGCAAAGCAAGGTTTGGGATTTTTTTTGTTATGTAAAACCATTTTTTATTAATATAGATTATGTTGTACATAATTGAAAAGTTTGATCATTTGACATATTTTTCTGTTCTAGCATAGACAAGCACTACTTCAATCAAGCAAAACATTTTTGCTCTTTCAGATGTGATTTGATTGCATTAGTCTAGCACCATAGAACTCTTTTTTTTTTTTTTTTTTAAGTTTGATAAGTGATATTTTGTTAACTCCTAGTAAACTTGCAAGAGACTTGTAATTTGTTCATTGTTGTATAAGAATTGTTATGAGTCGTTGCATGTTCACATTAAGTCCTTTTTTTTTCATGCGTGTTTGTTTTTCTATAAGTTGCATCCCTTGTTTTCATAACTTAATGCTAAATGTATTGAATGACTCTCGTTGAAACTGAGTATATTGATGTTATCCCTCTTGTTGTAATACCATTCAACTTATCTTAACAGCTTGAGTTTAACAAAATCTTGTAAATGGTTATATGTTTTTCATTTGATAAGAACCTTCTTCTTTTACATAGTGGCTATTTTAGTGATTCAATTGTATTGTCTCTCATATCTATCTCTGTTTCAAAAGTTTATTGATGTTAAATTTCATGATAAATCATATAATCTAATTAACTTTTTTTTTTTTGCCGAAAAAATGGCTTAAGGGAAGCTGGGTTAGATTTTAAGTTATGTAAGTTTCTAGGAGATGAAAAAGATGCAAGCACAAACTCTAGCTTAGAAGTTTAATGTATGTTGTCTACAAAGGGGTGAAAATCCATTGCTTAAATTTTGTCCCATAATTTACTTCCTTTGTTGTGGTTTTTCAGTTTCCAGCATTTTATTGCTTGTAATTTAAAGTAGCGGTGCATTGTTTGGCATCATGGCTATGCTTCGTTATGTTCTTGTTAGGAATTTATTAATGTATTTTGATTCTAGTCTCAAGCCAGATTACAATGCTTAGAACATGGGAATTAATGCCACTAAGAGAGAAGATATAATTATTGGCTAGTTTATTTTCTATAGCAGTTTTTTCCCCTGCCCTGAGGTTCAAGAAAAACTAACAAGTTAAAATTAAGACCGTATATATGTGGTAAAGTTAAGATCTCGTGTGATTGATGCGCAAGCACTCACGCAACTTCTTTTTATTAATTTTTTTACAGTTTCATTTCAAAAGAAAGCTACACAACTTTGAATTGTTTTTGTTACTAATATGTTGTCCTATGCTTATTTTGTTTTTGTTACTTGCAAATTTGTGTATGTTGTCACTTTGGTTAGCATTGTTTATTTTTATTATGGGGATCTGGTGTTTCAGGAAATGATCCTCAGCATGGAAGCCACCCTCAAGATCTGAATATAAATATTAGAGATTTAAAAGAGTTCATCTCTCCTCATTTGTTACATATTTGAGGAACAAGAGGCCCCTAGATCAAGATAAGTGATTCACAGATTATTGCTTCAATCTCGGACATTAAAATTTGGGAAGGACAGAAGATATATTCTTAGTCATGATTACATGTATCTAAAGGTATTAAACTTCATATATTTATTATTCATTTTTTTGTTGGTTTTTGCAATATAAATTTTACATAGTAATATTCTATATTTCATAAAGATAGATATTCTTATCATGTCTTTTGTCATTCATTGTAATATGTTGATCTTCACTTTGATTGTTGGTTGGGTAGTCATTCTTATTCATGAAATGAGCATTTAAGTCTAAGGAAATGTTGTTGTCCCTGCTGTCTTTTTCATTGGCTAAAGCATTTAAATCAAAAGAAAAAGAACACTTTTTCATGATAGAAGATTGAAAACCCATTAGTGGTGGTAGTCTTTTTTTATGTGTTTGTTTTTTTTTTATTTTGCCCTTCGACTCCCTTTTAAAAGGATGCATCTTCTCAAAATTCATCCTAACTAATTCTTTTTAACCCTCGCCAATAAGTGCATGGTAAAATAAGAGTAGCTTTTTCACTATCAAGGGAGTAACTTTTGTTATATCCGTAAAGTAGGAGAAAATATAAAAAAATAATATTGTACTCTTTCCGTTAAAGAATGTAAAGCATTTTTAAGGAGTTGGATGTTTAACAATGTAAGATATTTTTAGTTTTTTGAGGTGTAATTATTGTCTTTTTTTAAAAGTGCTTCTATTGATAATAACTTTATATTTATTGTAAGGTATTTAATAGAGGTAAATATAAAAAGATAAGGTTAGTTGAAAAGTAGGTAACTATTTTATTGAGAGGTGAGATTTAATTAAAAATGTCTTATATTTTTTAATGAAGGGAGTATTGATTAATTACACTTTTTGCTTTTTCATTTGAGAGATAGTTTTGAAATTTATTTATAATTATTTATTATACATTTATTGTATTAATATTAATGAGATTAGTAAAAATAATTTATAAATAAAACCAGCAAGTATGTTTTTACCATTTATTATATTCGACTTGTACATGATTAAGATTGAGATTATTAATGAAAGCTAAACATTTCCATGATGGATAAGACAATATAGGTTAGATGTTAATTACAATTTATTTTTTTATAAAAATTATTTTCAGATGCTTGAAAGAATTGTGACAGAGCATAAATAATTCTCTGCTTCGAGCATTCCTCCATGGCACCCTCAAGGCTTCTGAATAAATTCTAACACGGCATCGAACTAAAGCCTCCACATGCTTCCCTCTTATTAGCACAAAGTAGCAATTACGTTGACATCTTAGCTTGTTTTTTTTTATTTTACCAAAGAGAATCTCCATTAAAGGAAACATAAGAGTTTACAAACTGGAAATAATGAAAGCAACATAATAGTCAAAAGCCAAAATGGCAAAGACCTAGAATAAGACAAAACAAAAGAAGCTGCAACAAATCAACCAATTCCTTCTTTGTCACGATTCAACACAGGATGCTAGAAAGAAGACTAAAAACGATCAAAGTCCTTGAGGAGAAGACAAATAAGAGGAGGTAGTGGACAGAAGACCCATCCATTTGCATCCACATCCTTTAAAGTGGAGGCTGCCATCCAATCAGCAGCAGAATTACCTTCACGTTTGACAAACGAAAAGGAGAGAAAATGCAAGGACTTTATGATAGTCAATAAATCTTCCAGCAACCCATGACAAGGCCAAGGAAAATAAGAAATATTCCTGTGAATCAAGGCTTGAAAGAGATCAAGACAATCCAGCTCTATAATAACCTTGCTTCATTAAATTCAGAGGCTAATTGTACTTCTTTCTTGCAAGCCAAAAGTTCAGATAAAAAGCCAGAATCAGCATCAACAACCTTACGCCAGCCTTTAAGAAAGGACCCAGAGCTGTCACAAGCAATGATGCCAATGGCTGCCATTTTTTTAGCTTCTGAAAATGCTCCATCACAATTAATTTTAACAATACCAGAATCTGGGGGCTTCCAGACAGAGTTGAAAATCTCAGAGGACCTAGTAATATTTGGTAATGAGTGATTAATCTTCCAGAATTCATTCACTGCTGCAGCTGTTGATATTAAAACTTGGCTGGGATTTGGAGCTGCTGCATTAAAGACTGATACAGACCTGGTTTTCCAAATATTCCAGCATAGGCAAGCTATATAAGATTTGTCATAATCAGTAATTGGACTATCATCAGCCACGAAGAGATCGTACCAATTTGCAAATGAGGATATATGCATGGGATTAATTATTAAAGTCAGAGGGGAGCCATACCATATTTTTCTAGACCAATCACAAAGCAGTAACATGTGTTCTATAGATTCTGATCGAGATTTGCAAAAAGGGCAAAGAAGGTCAGCAGCACATTTCCTTGAGAAAAGAGCCTCCCGTGTTGCCAGTACTCCACTTAGAGCTTTCCACATGAAATGCTTAGCTTTAGGATGAATATTTAGATTTCACACATTCCTCCAAAGAGTCTTCGGGAACTCAATAGAAGAGCTAGGATTAGTCATGATCACAAGGTGGTGTCGGTCATATTCTGACTTATACCCAAGTTTAGCACTGTATTTTCCATTATTAGCTCCAGTTCAAACAATCACATCTGAAGAGGGATACAAAGGTATTCAGATTTTTTGAATTTGATTAATGGTGATTGTCGAAGCTGTAGATAAAATGGGTTGTAAATCCCAAGTCTCGTTGGAAATAAGGTCTTGAACTTTAAGATTTTTATCTGTGATAGCACTATCACAGGGCACAGCCTTGAAGTTAGGCAATCTAGCTATCCATGGATCAATCCAGACTAAGATATCAGACCCATATCCCACTCTATAACAAGCATCTTTTAAGAGTATGTCACGACCTTGCAAAATGCTACTCCAAGCCCATGAGGCTCGTGGCCCTTTTTTAGCCTGAAGGAAGGAACTAGTAGGAAAATAGACTGCCTTAAGAACTTGTACCCATAATTGACTAGGGTTCTACAATGCTCGCCATGCTGTTTGGGCTAGAAGCGCATCATTAAAATTCATAAAGTCATGAAAACCAAGGCCCCCGTCCTTCTTTGGGGCACATGGTTTGCTCCAAGCTTTCCAATGAATGGAATTCCTAGAATCAGACTGCCCCCGAAAGAAATTAGCAACAAGACTGTTCAATTCAGTACATGTCTTCCTAGGAAATTTGAAACAAGTCATAGGATAAATAGGGATAGCATTAATTACGGACTTTATCATAACTTCTCTACCAAGCAAAGGAAAGAAATTGACTTTTCTAGTTGTGAACTTTGTTGCCCACTTTGTCCCTCACAAAGGCAAGAGCAGCAACTTTTGAAAGCCCCCATAAAATTGGTAAGCCTAAATATGAGCCTGGATTATCCACAGCATTAACATGAAGGAAAGAATAAACTTCATCCTTAACAACTTATGTAGTATTTGCAGAGAAAAATAATGATGACTTATCATATTTAATACGCTAACCTGAAGTGTTGCAATAGGATTGAAGGAGCTCTTTAATGATGCTGTAATTTTTTCTATCAGCATGAAGAAATAAAATTGTGTCATCAGCAAACAGGCAATGAGTCAACATTGGGCATTCATCAGTAATTTTGATTCCTGTTAAGTCACCATTTGTAGTATGCTTACTTAGCATAAGAGATAACATATTGGTAGCAATTATGAAGAGGTATAGAGATAGTAGGTCACCTTGCCTCACCCCTCTTTCTGGCTAAATGTGAGCAATGTTTTTACTAGAAACTTGAATATTAAAAGCGGGACACATCACACATTTCATAATCCATTTTATCCAAGTTTTATAAAATCCCATCTTGGCTAAGACAGCCTCAATGAAATCCCATTCTAGCCGGTCGAAAGCTTTATTCATATACATTTTAAAGGCAAAGAAACAGTCATTTCGCGCTCTATGCATTTTTAAAAAATGAAACACCTCATGCACTAGGATGATATTATCATGGATAAGCCAGCTAAGGACAAAATCCCTTTGACTTTCAGAAACACAGTTGCCCAAAATACCCTTAAATCTGTTGGCCAAGACTTTTGAGAGGGCTTTGAAGGCAAAATTACAAAGACTTATAGGCCTAAATTGGCTAATCGTTTCAGGCCTTTCAATCTTAGGTATAAGAGTCAAATTTATTTCATTCAGGGAGCCAGGATCTTTATCTTTAAACAGAATATTATTAACAAGCAGAAAAAGAGAGTCACTGACCTCCTCCCAAGAAGATTGATAAAAGTGACCATTAAATCTGTCAGGCCCCGGAGCTTTGGATCCCTCAAGTTAGAAGACAGCTTGCTTGAGTTCTTCTCTAGTAATGGATGAAATTAACTAGTCGTTCTGAGAATCATTAATACAGGGTTGGATATAGCTTAAAATAAGATTAAGATCCTGAATGTGACTCTTAGTGAAGAGGTCTTGATAAAAGTCAGAGATTAGGCTAGCCACTTCTTGCTTAAAATCAAACCATTGGCCAGAGCTATCACGCAATTTAACAATTTGATTTCTTTGCCTTCTAGTTTTGGTTGAAGCATGGAAGAAATGAGTATTAAGATCACCTCCAGCTAACCCGAGACCTCTACCACCAGTAAGATTCTTCAAGTTTCCATAGTCTTTCCAGATCCTTAGTAAGAGAAGAAATCTCTTCTTTGATCTTAGAGGTGAGAATACCTTCATTAAGATTTGCAAGCTGCTGTAGAGTACGATCTATTTCCTTCCTATTATTAGGGAAGGCCTTTCTACCCCATTTAACTAAAGCACGATTGTAACTTTTAGTACAAGAGATGAATTAAGGGACCAGTTAGGATAAAGGGTCTTCAATATACCAAGAATTTTTAACAATATTTTTAAAATCAGGATGAGAAGCCCAATTAATTTCATACTTGAAGGCCTAGGGAGTTATTCTATCTTGATAGCACAAGCAGACAAGCAGGAAATGGTGATTTAGGGCAACTGGATCAACATGGATAGCCAAAGATTTAGGGAAAGACTCCCTGAATGCTGAGTTAGCCATAGCCCGATCAATTCTTTCTTTAACACAATTCTCATTAACCCTCTGATTACACCAGGTGAATCAAGAACCCTTAATTTCCAAATCAACCAAATCATAGTTTGTTGCAAAAATTTGGAAGTTTAAAACTCTTTTAATTGGGTGGGGGTTGCCTCCTAATTTTTCAGCCAATGAAAATAAGTTATTAAAATCACCAATGCATAACCAGGAACCATTTACCCCCTTAGCCCATTGACCGATCTCATTCCAAATCAGTTTTCAGTCTGACTCAACAGGAGGGCTATATATACATGAGACAAAAGTGGGAACCTACTATACCATGGAGGCCAAAGCTAAATGAATATAATTTTTACAAGAGGATAAAAGTTGACAAGATACATCATTCTTCCACCAAAGGGTTAGGCCCCCTGAGAGTCCTAATGGATCCACGTACCATGCATTCTTCATATCACAACTTTTTTTTAATGCGATCTAGATAAGATGCCCGTTGCTTAGTCTTCATGAGAAAAACAAGTGCTGGCTTATTTTTAGAAATAACCTCCTTGAGGTTTTTTATTGCCAAAGGTTTTCCAAGCCCTTGGCAGTTCCACGATAATAGATTCATGGCCCCTTAGTGGCTTTATGAGGCAAGCCACCGGAGCCTTCAGCAAGAGAAGTGGAGATAGAACCATCTGAGTTAGAGTTAAACTTGAACCAATCCTTAAGCAAGTCGATCTCAACCGCAATAGGGACATTAACCAGATTGTCATCTCCAATAGTAGAATCATTCACACATTTTGAAAGAGAGGATGATCTGTTTCTAGCTCTACTTGAAGTTTTAACACAATATCGAGACTTTTGGGCTTCAGATTTGAATGAGTTTCAGGGGTATCTGTGCTAGCATCAATAGGTTCCAAAAATAAATTTCACCTTTTCAGGGGTCTACTAGCATCCGTGACCTCAAAGTCATGTTACAAGTCCACACGTTTGAGCTTTATTGATACTTTAGTTAACAGGGATACAGGAACATACGGGATAATGGCCTTAGAATTACCAGATTCAACAGTATTTAGACTTTTCTTGAATGGGCTCCGTAGACTTTTAATTCTTCTACCAGGGGTGATTGACCTGTCATTAGACAAAGTAACTTTTGATACCAAAAAGGATGGCCCAATATCTTCAACAGACCTTGGCCCAATATTGAGAGGAGGATTATGAGTCATAAGAATAGGCTTAGAAATGGTAGGGCTCAAATGAGGATGATCTGAGTTTCGGTGGTTTCGGATGATGTGGCAGGGGGCAGATTCCATACTTGATTTACGTTCATTACCACTACTAACATGGAGGGGACATTCTGCTATGTCAGAGTAACAGTTTTGGCTTTGAATTGGCACGCGCCACCATCTTCCTCCTACTATCTTTCTCAGTCCATTCTTCCTTAAAATGAATCAGATTAGCATCAATTAGCTTAGCTGCTAAAGTTGAAAGCCAAGATCCATACCAATATTTTTTATCTTCCTCCCTTAGAATAGGAGGTTGACTACGATAGTTACGACTATCGTGGCCAATAATACCACAACAAAAGCAAAAACTTTATAACTGTTCATATTTGATCCAGAAATCAGAGCTATTAGGCTTAGTAGACCATAAACCAGGAAGCAAAGGCTTAGTAGTGTCAATGAGAATTTGAACATGAAGAAAATTACACAATATTCTTCCCTTAGGCTCAGGGTGTTTAACCCAGACGATATCCCCCACTTGAGAACCCATATGAATGGCATTTTCTAGACACAAAGTTGCATTGGGAAGATTATGGAATTGAACCCAGAATGGAACAAGATTAAAATTAACTTCCTCAACTGTCGAATAGTCGTCTTATAATTGTAGACTCATAATGCAAGAGTGAACTAACCATAGGCGTCCACACAGAATGCGCTCTCTGTTCTCAAAAGATTCACAATGAAAAATGAAGATATTCGGAATACCAGCATTTATGGCATCAACATCCTCACCTTCTTTCAAGCCCCATCAATCTTGAATGACATAGAGGACCGATTGACGATTTTGCTTTCTCTTGAAAAATATTTTCTCGATTAGAGCACCACCTGTCCGTCTCGCTACTGACGGAGATTTTCAGACAAGATGCAACCTCTTCTTGGAATTTCAGGAGCTGCCCTCCCCTTCTGCCATAGTCAAGAAAGGAAAAAGAGAAGGAACCTAGAAAAAAGAAAGGGAAGACAAAGAAAGAATCAGAAGAAGAAGAAGAAGAAATAGAGGAAGAAACCAAATAAATCCTTACAGAAAACAACTCTAAAAACTCTATCATAGTAGGTGATGGAGCTCACACAAAACCACAAAAGAGTACCCCTCACTAACAGTCACCATTGGTGACGACTACTCCTCCCTCAGAGAGAAACCCTATGCTCGATAGAGAGCAACCATAAACTAGTTGGTTTTAAACCCTACATTAGGGGTGTTCAGGCCCGGTATTGTCCCGATCATATCAGAACGGGTCTTGTCCCGACTCGAAATTAATCGGGACGGGACTTTACAGAACGAGATAAAAAAAGGGTTCGGGACGGGACACGGGATTACCATCGGGACGTCCCGTCCCGTCCCGAATATTATATATATTATTTTTTATTTTAAATATATTAATTATATTAATATAATTTATACTTATATTAAGTATATCAATTATACTTTTAATACTTGCAATTCTTATTTAAAACTAAAATTTTTTTATATTGATAGTTTTAATGGCATGGAATAAACATGGCGATATCTTTCTTTATAATATATTAATTATATTAATATAATTTATTTTTATATCTATCTATTTAATAACTTTTATTTATAACATATTTCTTGCTTATTTTTAGAAGAGTAATTAGCTTAGTACATCTTCACTAAAGTAGAAGAACAATGATTTGATGTTGTGTTTGACTTGCCTGTTGTTGCTAATCTTATAGCATAAAGATCACTTATATTTGTTATTATAATATGTAGTTGTGATTAATATAATTCAATAATTGATTTTAAATTATTTTTATTTATGTGCTTGTGTTGTTTTGATTTTAAACTTAATAAATTATATGATTTAAAATTTTAATGAACATTATTATCTAGATTTTTTTTGATATTATTTCATTCATCGGGACGACGGGACGTCCCGATCTTGTCCTGGTTCCGTCCCGACTCTTAACAGAACGGGACAACTTTCGGAACGGGACGGGACGGGACATGGGACCAAAATTCAGTCCCGATCTTTTTTTCAGGACGGGACACGGGACGGGGGTGTCCTGGTCTCGTCCCGTCCCGTGAACACCTCTACCCTACATCTTAGCTTGTTGGCCGTTGCCACCTTTTTACTGAATCATCCTCTTGGCTCTTGCAGCTAAAAATTAAGATTTTTTTGCTTATTAATTATAATTTTAAATTTAATATTTTTTAAAAAATATTAAATTAATCATAAAAATATATAAAAATTTATTTTTATTTTTATCATTATATATTTCAACTAGTTTTTAAATCAAAGTATTTAAATAAATTTTAATTTATTTAATTGGCTTTTGAAAAAAAATTCAAACATAAATTTTGTTACAGTTATAAATTTTTTTCTTAACCTTAATTTCAAATTTTTTAATATAAACACACACTAAATACCCTAACTCACTTTAGAAGCTCATTTTTTTTTTTAATCCAAGAATTTTCATCGTGTAATGGGCTCCCCACTAAGGTTAGGGCCCCCTAAAACCCTATCAAGAGAAACATAGCCTACAACAGACACACATCAAGAAGAAATTTAAGGTCTATCTAAATTTTTTTTTTTGAGAACAATTTTCTATTCTCTAAAATAAAAGAATAAAAAAATTTATTTGGTAATGTATTTTTAAAAAATATTTTGAAAAAAAAAATAAAATATTATTTTGAAAAATAAAAAAATAGAAATAATTTTTAAGTGTTATGTGATTATTATTTTGGAAATTAAGAGAAAATAAAAAAGTTTATTTTTATTATTTTTTTATTCTCAAAACATGTTTTATAAAACACTAATCCTCATAATAATAAAATAAAAATAGTTCTAAATAGCTCTTAACGGGTTATTTGAAACTATTTTTATTTTATAAAACACCAATTCTCATAATAATAAAAACTGTATTTTATTCTCTAAAATATTTTTTAAAAATACATTATTAAATAAATTTTTTTATTCTCTTATTTTGAAGAATTAAAAACTATTCTTAAAATAAGTTTCTAAAGAGGTCCTAAGTATTCTTTACGGGCGCTTTGTTCCTTGTAATCATTTTCCTTTGCTCAATGAACTTTGTGTTTTTTATCAAAAAAACAGAAAAACTCATCACATTAAAAACAACAGGGAAGAAACTAGCACCAATAAAGCAAAACCAAAATGACGACAATAACGAAGAGATCATCCAATGAGGTGATCCAAGGAGAACGGAGAACATTGATACATCTTCGATAAATAGAGCTCAATAGGAGTGGTTTTAAAATGGAAACATCACAATCATGGATCACTGGAGTTAATTAGTTGCGCTGCAAGATCAAATAATAAAGGATTTAAATTATACTCCATACATTTCAAATTATAAGATATTTTTAAATAAAATTTCATATATCAATAAATCTCATTAAATACACTTAATAACCTTATCTTTTCAAAACAAAAATATAAACTTTTAAAAATACCCATCATTTAATATATTAAAAAGAGAAGCGACGAAAATTAATTATAAAGAGAGGAAGGGTAATATTGAAATTGATGTATTTAATAAAATTTTAATCTATCCAAAGTTTTTTATATTGGGACGAAAAAAACTTCTTTAAAAGTATCTTATAATTTGGAATGGAGGTAGTATTAAATTTGTTGTGAAAAGGTAAAATTATCCCTTATATGTATATATATATATATATTCTTTTAACGACAATTCCTCATTTAAGAAAAAATAAGTTTTATTTTCATTTTAATAAAAATTAATTTTTTATTACAACTCCAAAAAAAGTAACTCAGTGATTGAAAGGAATGAGTATTGTGATTTGGTAAACAAGTCTCCATTTGAAGAAAAAAAAAACAAGTCCTAATTCCATTTAAACAACAATAAATTCTTTCATTAACAATACCAAAAAATTAACTTGATGGTAGAGAGGAACAACTTAGTGATTTGATAAATAAGTCCTCATTCAAAAAAAAAAAAAAACAAGTTTCACTTACATTCTAACAACAATCAATTCCTTTATTAACAACTAAAAAAATATTAACTTGGTAGCGAAAAATTATCATAATCTAGTGAACAAGACTCTATTCGAAAAAAAAAAGGTCTCATTTTCATTTTAATAACAACTAATTCTCCTATCACAACAAATATACATCAGTTTAGGCCAAAAAAAAAAAACAACAAATATATATCAAGGTAATTTTATCTTTTTACAATAAATTTTAATTACATTTAGGTTCTTTTGATCTTGTAGAGTAATATTAAAATTATTTGATTCTGTAGTGTAATTAAATTGTTTTCAATGTTCCTTGATTGTGATTTTTCATTTTTCCTTTTAACAATGACAAATTTACAAGGTCAGTTCAAACGCTAAAAAAAAGGTGAACATAAAAGAATCTTCGCCAGTGGAGTTGCTTAATGTGGAGACTGAGCGGTTCGCTTTGCAGATGATGGGGAGATGCTCAACTTAGCAATCATGTTTCAAATCAAACCAAGGCCAGTTCAGAGTCGCTCAGGCTCATTTAATAATGATCATTAGTTGAGTATAATAATGTGAAAAAAAGTAATTTTAATATCTCGAGTCTTGACAGGGCCATTAAGTGAAAAAGGACATTAATTAATTAATCACTACTTATAAACCCAAAAAAAAAAAAAGCCTTGTACCACTATCAGGTATTGAAATACTACTTGTACTGTATTCCAAGCAGATGGAATAGTCAAAAAGAATTAATAAATTATTAATATTTTTTTTTTTTGGAAAAACTAAATAATTAATAATATTTATATTTGACTAAACAATCTTTTAGAAAACGCGGTAAGGAGAAACCAACCCCATGTGGCCATGTTTCCGTTTTAAGTGACTTTGCTTACATATTGTGCCAAAAGTTGCAGCAGCTTCTTTCATGCCTCAAATTTCAAAACTTCTTCAGCAAATGTCTCATGCTCGTTCGATCTTCTTCTCACTCTACAAAGCAAGCTCAAAGCGAAGACGCACAAGGCCAAAGTCCAGAAACGTAGAATGGGGATACACTGAACCAAGGTAAAAGACTTCAATTTGTACAATACACAAGCTTGATACTTCAAGAATGCACGCAAAATTTGGGTTTCTGAATCGTCTTTTGCTTAACCCTCCAGAATTGAAGGGTTTTTTTTTTTGGGTGTGCTTCCCGATAGAAGAAAGGCATTGGCTTTCCAGATTCTTAGTTTTTGTGGGTTTAAATTAAATTAAATTAAATTTAAAAGATTAAATTAAATTTAAATTTAAATAACCAAGGTAAAAGACTTCAATTTCTACAGTACACAAGCTTGATACTTCAAAAATGCATGCAAAATTTGGGTTTCTGAATTGTCTTTTGCTTAACCCTCCAGAATTGAAGGGTTTTTTTTTGTTGGTGTGCTTCCCAATAGAAGAAAGGCATTGGCTTTCCAGATTCTTAGTTTTTGTGGGTTTCAAAATTATTATTATTATTTTTAATGTTTTTCCTCTCTTGGTTGTGGTGCTTCATGTTCATGCAGTATGTGTTCCTGTGTCAGCTGGTAAACTCAATGTTACTGTTCATAGTGAGGATTGTTCAGCAGTCAATACTTGAATATCTCAGCTTTGCTTAAAATGTCTGTGATGTTTGATAATGATATTGTCAATGAGTTTGGTACACTTATGCTATACGTGATATAATTTTAAATTTGTGTTTTATACTGTAAGTCGAGATAATGAAATCTTTAAATCTTTGAATTTGTCACAATTATTGATTCAACCCTTCAAATCTATTTTTTAAAAAAAATTTAGTGCTTTAGATTTTTTAAGATAACAATCCTTAAAGTTTTGAGACACAAATGGCCTGACTTTAAATTATTTTGATAACTTGACTTGTATATGTGATTTAAAAAAACAACAAATTGTCCCTCATATTAGTTCAATTTTTATCTGTCTAGTCCCTTACTTATTTAACGTTCTGTTTTTTTTGTTTTTTTTTGAATTTTTGAGTTTGTTTTCTTTTTTTGTCATGCCTAAATAATTACACATCTTTTTCATTGATTTTTATGGCTTGTCAGCATATTTTAATAATGTAAACTCTTCTTTAAATAATAAGCATTGAATCAATAAATGATACAAATTTAAAAGATTAAATTACCAAAAATTAAATTTAAATAACTAAATCAATAGCTTTGATAAATTTAAAAGATTAACAGTTTCTTCATTATTCCTTGTAAGTAGCCTTTGTCAAACATGCTATTGCATAGCAAAAGAACAAAGAATTTAGAAAAAATTATATTCAAGTCCTATACAAAAAAAAATTAATTATTATAAAATTCATAGTCAACTTAATCAAGGCCATTGACAACACAATCAATTGTCAATAGCCTTGATTCACTTGTCAATGCAGTTCATAGTAATTAATTTTTTTGAGTGAAATTTCAATGTAATTCTCTCATATTTATACATAGTATGTCATACTTAGGCCCTACCCAAGTTATCTAGCGTGATTTATCCTTTCTTCTTTCTCATCCTTGCAGAAGAAGAAGCCCAGAAGTTACAGTAATAAGAAGCCATAACATCATGGAAGTGCAGCATGAAGACACACACAGAGTAGGAGAAAGACCTAATTAATCCCACTGCATTTTAATCTCTTAAGTCTTAACTTTGCCCAAATTTTCACTTTACTTGCCCACTTTCATTATTTTTTTCCAGTTTGATCTTTAAAGTTTATCTTAAGCTATATCTTTTGTCTCCTCATTTCATTTCTAATTGAATACCTAACTTTACCTCATTTTACTCTACCATTTTATATTTCTTTTGTTTTTACTTTAGTCACTTCACTGACAGAGAAATTACTCATATATGTTACACACACACCCCCTACAAACTTGTGTGTTGATTTTCATTGCAGGTTGAACCGTGTGATATATGTGGTAATGTTGGTTGGCCCGAAGCAATTGCTACTTGCTCTGAATGCAAAGTAGCTAAGCAACATGTGTAATGATCTATCATCTCAGCCACCTTACATTTGTGGACGCAAGCTATATATACAATATATGTATCTGAATTAATGCTGCTTGTCTTTGGTTGCAGCTATTGTATGAAAAAGTTTGTGAGAATAGTTCCTGTTGATTGGCTTTGTGAAGCTTGCCATTCTGTGGATGATGTGGTTTCATTAGAAGATGTTGAAAATAGTGACATATCAGTAGACCCTGGATTTGATGCTTCTGATGATGTAACTGAACATGATGAGTTCACAGATTCAACCAGTGGAGAAATTCAAAATACTTTAATGACTACTCAACAAGCTCCTCATTCATCGGCAAAAGGTAACGATCTGGATTGTCTCTGTAGCAAAAAAGCTTGGACACGCAAACTTGATGGAAATATAATTGCAAAGGACCTGCGAAAATCAGTAACCAGGACCACAAAAATGTTGAAATTGAATTTCAGGATCATGGTGCTTTTGTGCAAATTAAAAATAATGTTTTGACTAAAATGCCCCTGTCTGAAATGCACCTTTACTCAGTTACTTTTAGGGGTATTTTAGTCATAACAATAATTAGTAAATTGAGAAAAGGACCATGATACTTGAATTCAATTTCAAGTTCTTAATGGTTACTTGTTACTAATATTTGCAGGTACTTATTTGTGATTTTTCCCAATATAATTTGAAGTTGTACATGAGATATCGAGTGAAATATTATGGGAATCTCTGTAGACCAGTCAATGGAACATCATCAGCACTTGGACACTGAAAGGAAGAAAATGCCTGTCAAAGCTTCCTCCTTTTCTCATCCTCCTCTCCTTTCAACTAAGGCTCAGGAGGAGAAGTTCAACAGGTATTTTGTAAATAAAGAGGCTCTTGAGAGTTGGTATGTAGATTTCTCATTTCTGTATGAAAATAACTTTGAGATTAGACATGCCTTGGAGCCCTTTAGTTTCTTCTTGGAACTGAAACATGAGTGGAGTCCAAAGGTTGTCCGTGCCTTTTACTCTAACTTAACCTTGGATGTTAGAGGAACAACAATCAAAACTGAGGTTAGAGGAACCAAAATTGTGTTGGATTGTGCAACTCTGGCTAGCATTCTTAAACTACCAACAATAGAGGGACCATGTTTCACTGATAACCCATATAATGTTAGGATCTTAGAGGGCTATGATGAGAACAAATATGTCGCTAGGATTCTACAAATGGAGCAAGTACCAGAAGATTTTGAATATAGAGCTATTGTAGACTTCCCCATGGAACACAAGCTTCTACACTACGTTGTAAGACATTGTTTCTTCAACAAATCTTGGAATTCTGCTTATGCAAGTGACTCTGAGATGTTGATGATGTATTACTTGCTTGAGAAGATGGATTTCAATCTCCCGTACTTTATGATCCATCGAATGACAGCGTTTGCGCGAAAAGCCGCCGCGCCACTTCCTTATGGCTCTTTTGTTACTGAGATCCTCAAACACTTCCAGGTTCATCATCTTGATGAGGAAGAAAGAAGATCTCCTGAGACCATTGGTATTAACAATTTGTCCAGAATGGGATTCATGAGAAAAGATGGTGCTTGGGATCTTCATTGTGCTTCTAATCCTACATCTTCTGAATCTGAGGACTCTCTTCCTGCAACTCCTACATCTCACGTCAATTTTCCCGAGCTCGTGATCATGGAACGTCTACGGCATGTGATCACGGAAAATCTACGGCATTTCGAGTCTTTTCAACGGAAGGTTGAGAAGTGTATTTGTCGATGGCGTGATCATGGAAAATCACGACGATTTGAATCTCTTCAACAACAGGTTGACGAGTGTGTTCATCAAACGACGGCTATGCAAGAAGTGTCAATAAGTTCAGACACATGATGTTTCTTTTGGGTGGACTTTGTTGTGTGTGTATGTGTGTGTGTGTTAAGATGTTGTTAGTGCTATATGTTGTTGATGCTTTTTGATGGATCATTATCAACATTTAGCTATTTTGTTGTGACAATTATGTGATTTGGGATTATGGAGTGAGATATAATTTATTTATTATTACTATCCCCATGTTCTGATAATGTTAAACTTGTGGTGATGGTGTGGGTAGATTTACGGTCTAAATCTTTTTTATATAGCAAAATAATGTGTTTAAAATTAGCCAATGGTTATATCTATAACGCCTTGCCAGTGGCACTTAGTGCCTTATTGGATTTATCTTATAATCAATTATAAGATTTAAAATTATATTTTTTTTTAAATATATACCAGAACACTCTCAATCTTGATAAAATCAATTGTACATTTAAAATAATAGTTATTTCATAAACTATTATTACATTCTTTTAAAATCAATATTATAAATCAATTACAACTAAATTTGATCTTTTACCAATTAACTTTTTTTTAACATCTTTGTTCATGTTTTCAATTTATTACTGAAATGAAACATTGGGACACAATTATTATTATATTTTTAGTATTTAATTTTAAATAAATATTTTTTATTTTTTTAAATAAATTTTATTTATATTATATACAAAATTTAATCCCAAATATTTTTCTAGACTCCATACCCGTTCATATGCCGATAGGGAAAACTATTTTGATGGTGCATATAATTTTTCTCAACTTTTAATTTGGTACCTTTACTTTTTTGCCCTTTTTTATTTCCTTCTTTAACTTTCTTCCGTTAAAGGCATTGGACCCAGTAGATTGGAAAATTGCCTAACGACCAACGTAGGAAAAGACGACGTTAAATCAGAAAATCGAAAGGATTAAGCTTTGTATAACATGCTTCATTCGATTTGGGGTCTCAACAAGCAATCTTTGTTCGTGTGATAGGGCTATCTCCAATCACCAAGAAGCTAGCGATCTTCATGCAACAGGTTGATATCGGTACACTAAAAAGAGGGGTTGTGATCTCCATCAGCAAGCTTGGCTTTCTCTGTTTTTCTGCATTCTGCTACAGCATGTTGTCATTTTGAAGATGGGAAATGAATTGAAGCACTCTCTATTAGTGCCCAACTTTTAGGCCCCAAGTTACTGTTCACCCACCTTCTTTGTTTTATTTTCTTTGTGATTGTCATTAAGTGTCACGATTAGTGTATACTTCGAAAGCTTCTCATTCAACTTAGAACAACTTTTCCTTTCCTCACCACCACGGCTGAGGAACTGCCGCTGCCACAGCCATAGCCATGAATCCAACCGAGTCTGAGCGGATCTGCGTCATATAGCCAGCAACCTCTCATGCACAGTATAGATGATGAAGAGTTGTTCTGGCGAGCTTTAATGGCCCCAAAGAAGGAAGAAACTCCAAGGTGAGCATGCTGTGAAGATTACTTTCATGTTCTTGACGAAGGGACCCTTCATCATGCCATATGAGAAGTGACAGTGAGGGGAGAGCTCAACGCCATTAAAGAGAGCCAGGGGAAGATGCAGGTCTACGAGGAAACATTTGGCATGGCATGAAACCACAATTAGGGTGAAGATGACAGGGGACGCGGAACATGCTAGTTAAGGGTAGAATCCTGAAAACAAAACAGACACAAAAAACATAGAGAAAAGGAACAAAAATATGAAAGACGAAGAAGACGAAATAAAGAAAAGAACACAATAATAATCAAAGAGAAGATTCTATAAAGTACTTGTTTTTAGTAATTTTAACTTTCAAAAACATTACAAAAGTTGATCAAATTCTTGATCATTTCTGTATTCACCACGAGATGCCGCAGTAAGTATTAAGACTCACAAGAGTTATCAATTTTAATAATAAAAATAATTTTATTATTCACATTCAAACTTACCTTATAATGAAAAAGTGCACGCCTATATATAGGCTTGCTCAAAACTCAAAAATCCTAATTCAGAAATCTTCGTTTCACGAAAATACTAATAAATAAATAATAAAAATAAGCCATGTAATTTAGAAATTGTATCTCCTAAAATGATGTGATTACATTATTAAATAAAATATTAACCTAGAAATAGGAAGCAAAACTAAAATAAAATATTAAACTAATATCTAAATTATTAAGTTAATCAATTTGGAGCAATCCAGGGATATATTTATCCATGCAATCATCCATGAAATTCTTTTATGTTTTTGGCCCACTAGTTGATTGTCTGTCTCTTGGCTTTATTTAACCACTTTTGTATTGTGATTAAAATGCAAAAGTTTGTGATTAAAATCTAATAATGAAACAAAGAGAAATCAAAGAACTCAAACAATCAAGTGTAAATATTTCAAATTAAAATATACTAGAAAAACATGAACAAATTTTTTAAAAGAGGATTTCTTTTTTTCAAAATCTATGTGAAAGAAGGCAAAATTTTTAAATAAAATTAAGCATAAAAGAAAATGAAGAAGGGCATGAAAAGCAACAAAATAAGGAATGAAAAATCAAATGAATCAAACACTCAAAAGAAAAAAATAAGAAACTAGATGAAAATAGAAAGTGAAGGGCTTACTCAAAGAGAAGAGTACCTTGCAATGATAGTCAAAGACCAAATTAGGAAAGATATTTAAAATAGGACAAAAAAAATAAAAAACTAAAAGAAAAATAGAAAATCACAATGATAAGAATGTAACTAATGGAGCCAAAAATAGAAAAGAAAAAGTAAATGAATAGAAAAATCTTACCGCCTAAGTTTAATAAAATAGGCAACTTTGTTACTTGTAATGGAATCTCTCAAATTAGAAAACCTTTTCACTAATATTGCAATTCTCAAACTTGCAATTTTTCTTTTTTGGAATTTTCAGATTTTTTTAGCACACTAATGCTTTTTTTTTTCAACACAACTAGGCCTTTTTTTACCTATTTTTGTACGAATTTTTAAGTATTTTTTTTCTTTTTTTTTTTGCAAGGAGGGGAAAAAGGTTGCAAATACAAAATTAGAAGAAGTAGGTAAAAGATATAGATATGGTTGCAAAAGATGAAACTAAAGTGAAGAACAATGTAAAAGGAAAAAGAAAGATGAAAGGAAACTAACAAACTAGTAAGCTTAGCTCTGATGCCAACTGATAAGGGATGCGAAAGTAGAATCATGTAGTTAGGAATAGAATCCTGAAACACAAAGCAAACACAAGAAACACAAAGGAAAGGAACAAAAATATGGAAAAAGAGGTCAAAATAAAGACAAAAACACAATAGAGATCAAGGAGAAGATTCTCTAAAGCATCTGCCTTTAACAATCTTAACTTCAAAAATATTATAAGAGTTGATTAAGCTTTTGATCATGTTTGTATTCAGGATGCCATAAACTCTAACAATAAGAATAATCTCATTATTCAAATTCAAACATACCTTACAATGCATATTTATAAATAGACTTATTTAAGACTCAAAAACCCTAATTCAAAAATCTTAGCTTGACGAAAATAATAATAAATAAATAATTAAAAATCAACGATGTAATCTAGATATTATATCTCAAAAATCATGGGATTACATTTTTAAATAAAATCCTAATCTAGAAATAGGAAACAAAACTTAAATAAATTTTAGATTAATATCTAAATTATTAAGCTAATCAATTTAGAGCAATGGAATGTGTCATTATTCATATAACCATCTATGTGATCTTTTTATGTTTTTGGGCTACTAATCGATTGTTGGCCTCTTGGCCTTATTTAATCACTTTTACATTGTGAGCCTCTTAATCTTGTTGGGCTTGTTGGACATGTGAGATTCATACTCTATCAAAAGATGTTCCACAATTGAAGCTATTGTCTACTGAAGAATGAAATTAGAGGCTGGGACAAGTTTCAGCTGGTTTCGATGGGGGAGAGATACTGAACATTTTGGGGATTAAAAGAAAAGAGTTCGGCATTGTCATAATCAGCGGCACAAGTTTCACTGGCTCTTACCTCATAGATCATTTGATTGTAGAGGGTGATAATATCATCGCTGATATCTTTCACCGACAAGAAGAAAGTTTCCTTCAAATCATGTGCGTCTTCGGTTTTCTTTCAATGTTTTGGACTTAACATTGTCTTCTCCTCAGTTGGTCCCTCTGGCTACTTTCCTATCTACAGGGGCTAACATTTTTAATGAGAGAAAGTTGAAGTAGGAAATGAAAAAGAAAAAAAAAATAGAGGTACCAAATTAAAAATTGAGAAAAATTATTGGTACCAATAAAATGGTTTTCCACACCCAAATGCATGAAATTAGGAATTCAATTTGCACTTTATTTCCTGCCAAAAAATTCAATTTGAAAAAAGTTACATGATTTATTTTTTAAAAAATTTACAAACAAGGACATGGGGAAATAAATAATAAGCATTAAAGATTATAAAATCTTGAAATTGAATTTAAGTATCCGGATTCTTTTCCACAGCTTACAAATCATTATAATGATGACCAAAATATCCATAAAAATAAACTATATGCATAGTATGGAATTTTGGATCATTCTATCTGGTTGGAAAGTTTAATAAAATATTTTGTTTATAATTAATTTAATCATGATTTAATTATAATTTAAATGTAAATTATTAACCCTTAAACTAGTATCTTAATCGATTTGACCGGTTCGATCTTTAATAGCTTGACTAAATGTACAATTTTTTATATTGGGATACTTTGATCAAAACATTATTTTTTTTAAAACTGAAAAAATAAAGAATATAGTCCTCAAATTCAATTTTAACATTTGTGATCTTAATGGTTATTATTGATTTTTGCATGTAGTTAACCGTGATTTTTGGGAAAACATTACCCCTTCTAATCACGACGTGGCACAATCTTATTGGTGATACAAGAGCCACATAGGCATCAAATTCTTTCCACGGCCATTCTCCGCCTCAGTAGGATTTGGATAACGAAACGTAACGCATGAACCTTCAACCTCTCAAAGGGATAACGTTTCCCACGTAATCCAAACCGCCATGGCCACCCTCTTCTCACCACCACCCATCTCCTCGTCCACCTCCGCCGCCGCTTCAACCACCGCCCCATCCAAACCTTCTCTGTCTCCCAAAACCCTCCTTCCCATTTCATCCTCCAAGCCACCGCTCTCCGTCGCCATAACCGCCGCCGCCATTGCCACCGTACTCACGACCACTCCTCTTCCTTCCTTGGCTGATTCCTCCGCAACTACCAAGTCTACTACGGCACGGCCGCCAGCGCCGCCAACTACGGCGGCTACGGTGGAAACTCTAGCAAGAAAGACTCCGCCGAGTACGTTTACGACGTCCCTGAGGGCTGGAAAGAGCGCCTAGTCTCCAAGGTCGAGAAGGGAACGAACGGAACGGACAGCGAATTCTTCAATCCGAAGAAGAAAACAGAGAAAGAGTACCTCACTTTCCTTTCTGGATTTCGCCAATTAGCTCCGAAGGACACGGTTCTGAACAATTTGGCGCTGTCGGACGTGGATTTGCAGGATCTGATAGCGAATGCGGACAGCTTGACGTCGGAGGAGAAGAAGGACGAGAACGGCCAGATCTATTACGTGTATGAGATCGACGGGGTTGGAACCCATAGTTTGATTTCTGTGACGTGTGCCAAGAACAAGCTTTATGCCCATTTCGTGAATGCTCCTACGCCGGAGTGGAACAGAGACAAGGAGATTCTGAGGCATGTTCATGAGTCTTTTAAGACTGTGGGATCCTCCTGATGTTGAGGTTGTCTCTGGTAATGCATGATTTTTCTGTATTATCAACATATTGTTTATGTCATGCTTGGAATTCTGCTATGTTTTGGTTTCAATCTGATACGGAAATATTGAAATTAGCATGGCCGCTGTTTATGACATTGTCCATATGAAATTTAAGAGAAGTCTTAGCTGTTAATTGTGGCTTCTGAGTTGAAAGAAACATTTTCTTGTTTCTGACCAAGAACGAAATACTGCTCTGGTTGTAGCCTGAGATTCCCACTTCTTAGTTATCCTGCATTTCTCTGTATCATGGGGCAAGTTCGAGTGACTAATGCAGATTTGACTAACACTAATAGTCTTGGCCAAAATAGAAAGCTCACTCTTAATTATCAGGGATGCTTAGTATTGAAATTCAAGTCAATTCGGTGGGTATGCTATTGAACTAGTGCCTTGCTTGACTCAATGAAATGATTTGTTCGTAACTGATCTGATCTAGTTTGATTATGATTTTTACGTCAGTACCTTGCTCGCATACGACCAGTTTAATAACCAACTGACTTTAAGTACGTTGTACGCATGCATGCGATGACCTTCTAAAAGAATTCTTGAATTGAAGTTTGTGGACACTGTTGCTCTGATACTAGCCTCATTGATCATTCTTTTTCCCGGCCAATCTCATCGATCATTGTTTACAATCCTTTTCTTTTTGGATGATGAGTGCATTAATTTGGAACTAGAATATGTATATTTGGGAAGGACTGCATTTTCTTTATATATATAATCCGCACAAGTTGAACCATCTTCTCCATAAGTCTCCTCAAAATTTGATCTGAGTAACTTAAGACTAGAATGGAGAAAAACATGGGAGAAATGCGCTAGTTATTTTTTGGGGTTGTTTGGTTGATAAAAAATAAAGGGAAGGAGAGGGGAGCTTTTGCTTGGTTTAAAAATTGAAATTAATACGCGTTGGTCCTAGTAAAATGATTATGGTCACATAAGCACTAGATCTCAAATTGTGTGAAACACTTTTGAAAAAGTGACCCTCCATTAAGCCCGGATAAATTTGACTCAATTAGATAATTATATCAAAAGATTATGTAGAGATATCCTCCCCTCCTCTCCAAATTAGGGTTTGGAGTAGAGGAGAGAAAAAGAAAATTAAACTTAGACTAATTACCCTTATTATTAAAAAAATTCTAAACTAGTTTTTATTCTAAAACAATTGTATCCTTTTCTCCTTCTCTTTTGACTCTTACAATAAAACAATAAGTTTTATTACCTAATAAAATGGAATACATAATTCATATAGGTATAAATTTAGGGGGAAAACCCGCTACTGTTTGCGGCTATAATCCTCACAACACAAACTACAATATCTTCTCCCCATCTTCTTCTTTTTGGCCAGCTTCTCCACATCTTTATTACTCGTTTAAGACTCACAACAACAACAACAAATAGTTTTTTTTTTTTTTTCATTAAGCGCGGTCTGTTTCATGATTAAATGATATTGATTGTGTGTTCTTTCAATACCCTAATTGAGTACTCTATATATCAAGCCTCACTACCACCAAACAAAACAAAGAAAACTCACAAGCACCGTCATAAATCAGCAGCCTCATGTCTTCAATTTTTAGGTGGGGAAGTATTCGTGTGTAATCTCATACGTGAATATGCTGTTTTAAATCAATGTTGTTCTCTAAATAAACAACAAAACCATTAATACAGAATGGGAATTTGAGAGAGAGAGAGAGGAGAGAGAGAGAGAGAGAGAGAGTGTGTTGTGTGTGTTGTGTTAGAGACAGAGAGATTAGAGAGAACTAGTACAAAGTGAAACCATCGTCATATGAAACATGGGAGGCTCGTCTACAAGGAGGGGCATTCTCATCGTACTCAGCACAACAGCTCCATCGTCTCTTCCAATTGGAGCGACCAGTGTTGGTTCTGTTGTCTCTGTCGTTCCATTTGTACACAATCACTCCTGATTCGTCTGTCCACTCCCCATCTATCCCTTGGTGTGGTGGCGAAAATGAGAACAACCCTTTGTCTCCTGCAATGCAACACCAACACAACTTTAGGCATCTGCATGGGCTAGTTTGGCTGGGCTTCTGCTGAAGACAAGCCCAATATGACCTGAAATAGTTGTTCGAGCTGTAAGTTCTAGCGATGTTTTTATATGAAATCCGACTCAATCAAACTCATCAAACATTGTTGGGTCTATTTGGGACACATACTCAAACTCAAAATTCCGTGCAAGCTCATTTGATGTTGGTATGGGATTCAGATTAGTAAGAAGTAAGAACAGTTTATCCTCATTATCTGTAACTAAGCAAATGTTTCAGATCTTATAAACTAAAATGCATAATGTTTTTTTTTTTTTTGGTGGAAGTGCATAATTTTATTAATTCTGATAAGTTGTAAATGATTAGATGATATATACCTTTATAGATTCTTGTTAAATCTTGCTACTCCAAATCCAACTTTTTAAACCAACTTGATAAAATAAAAAAAAAAAAACAGAAAACTATACAGTAATTCAGAGAAGAAACACCCACAAAATAATCCAAAATTTTTATAATACGTTGATACATATGGTTTTAAACGATATCATTAAATTTAAAAATAACTAAAATTATTAAAAGCATGTTAGTGGTCGACCGTAACTGGAACAGGATTGACTCCAAACAAGTTAGTGGATACTTATGACCAATAAAGAAGTTACACTTGTAATACCAAGAGGCCAGAGCACTAATTTAGTCTTTGAAAATTGATGAATTTCGGGGAGTGTAGAAGATTGCGACGTAATTTCCGTAACAAGGTTCAGATATCAAACGGACCAAGCAGGAATAAGTTTCAAGACAAGACAACAAGAAGATAGAAATTTTTGTGTAAAGTTTTCCAAGGATAGTCTTGCAAAGAGAGATCGGAAATCGCAAAAAGAAGAATCCAGAAACAGATCGATTAAATATCATAAATCAGTGGCTGCTGAGTAAGGACCGAAACGAAAAGAACATGGAAGCGAAATTGGGGGAGAAATATTGGATTGTCATCGGAAGAAGCGAGTAGATGAGAAAGCATACCGTTGGCGTGGCCATGGAAAGAGCAAGCAATCGGGGAATTGTCTTGATCGGAGTAAAGAGTATTACATCGCAAGCATCGCTTCTTGGTCTGAATCTGAGAGTACGACTTTACCGGAAATTTGCGACGCGAGGCTTTGCACAGAAGCAGGTTATTAGGGAGACTGATCGCTAAAGCCATTCAAATTCGTCCTTTCGCAGCAGAGATAACCAAAACAAGATAGCGAGAGTGAGAGAGCGAAGGAGGAATTTCCTGAAGGCACTGCGACTCACGCCTCATGGTTCCTGCTAAGCTTCCAGAATGACTTTTAAATATTTTTATCATTTTTTTAATTAGAAGAATCAAAATATTTTCATTTATTGACTTATTAAAAAATAAAATTATATATAAACATTATAATTTGCTCTTTAATTTTTAAAATGAAATAGTATATATAGTGTATAGTACAGAACTTGAGAAATCAATCTATCCATATCTGATAAGTAGTTTGTCTTGTTAAAATTTTTTACAAGAAAAGATTAAGTATTTAGCCTTATATACTTAATCTATTTTTATATAATAAAAAATAATAATTGAATTTTAATACATTAATAATATAATAATAAAAATTTAAAATTTATTATAAAATAAATAATCTATAAATGATATACATTTCTTGATTTAAGTATATAAAATTAAGTATATAAATTTTTTTAAGCTAATGTAAGTTTTAGCCTTTTAAATTTATCTTAATTATTAATTTGATCTCTTAAATTTAAATTTTATTAATTTAAATTTTTAAATTTACTTCAGTTATCTATTTGGTCCTAATCATTTAAAAAGAAAGTAACACTGTTAAATTTTGTTAATATGGATAATAAAGTATTGATTGTATCCGTGTGCGTTCACATTCAATGCACCGAAGGCACATCAAGATGTGACCAAATCATGGCATTTTATTTCATTTTAAAATGATCTTTACTGTTTATTTTAAATTAATTTTTAAATGTTTAAATATTATATTTATTAATATAAAAATTATAAAAAATTTTGATGTTAAATCTGGACTGTCTTTCATGCTCATCTAAGAATGAGAATCATGGTTCTTATTATCTTAACAAGATTTAGACCATTCAAATTTAAAATTTTGTATTTTTAATTATATTTATCAAAATATAAATTTTTAAAAATATAAATTTTTTAATCAATTTGTTTATTATTAATTTGGCTAGTATAGATTTAATCTGACTATCCAAGTCTAATTTAATATTAAAATTTTTATAATTTTAATAATTTAATTGTTTGAATATATTTTGGACAATTTAGGTATAATCTGGATAACTATTTAATATAATTTTTTTATAATTTTTACATATAATCTAAATGTATTCTAGACAATCCAAATTTAACATTAAAATTTTTTATAATTTTCATATTAATACATATAATATTTAAAATATTTAAAAATTAATTCAAAATAAACAGAAAAGATCATTTTAAGATAAAATAAAAGGCCATGGTTTGGTCACATGTGATGAGTATCGAATGCGAACCGGCATGTATCCATGTAAATTAATAAAAAAAAAGTGCAATTGTTTAGTTGTGAATGTGAGAAATTATATTGAAAAAAAGTTAAATGATTTGAGGGTGAATTTGTTCTTATTTAAGTATATATATACATATCAAGTCATCAATATGTTTTACAAATTATATTATTTTAAAATTTAATTTGTATTTTAAAACTTAAAGGACTCATGTAATAATTTAAAAAGATATAAGGGACTAAATTAATAAAAATTAAATTTATGGAACTGAATTTATAATTGAGATAAATTTAAAGGATTGAAAATTTTACTATTGCTTTTTTCTTTTTTATATGTAAATTACACAACCATATCTTAATTGTTGTTGAAGTTATATCAATTTTTTATAGACTTTTAATTATTTTCAAAACCTCTAAATGTATACTCTCTTGGCAAAAATTGCACGCTTCAACATTCGGAGAACTCATGGCTACTAATGCTAATAATGCCATAATGCCTTGTCACTCCCTTCACAAAATGTATAACGTCTACTTTTGTTTCTCTTTAGTTCTTTTTTTCTATACATTTTTTTGTTTGAATCGTTGATATCAAATTTTAACATATAGTCAGATTAATTTATACTTTAAAAAACAATTAAATTCAATTTAGAAGTACGTACGTGTAATTTGCCATGATATTTTGGATTGTCTTGTTTTTGTTATTCAACCAAAAAATATACAAAAGATTAAATTAACTTTACTTACTAATAAGAAATCATAGTTAGTGAGAGCAAGGGTCACCTGGATCGGATATGATATTCTGATCTCTGAGTTTATACAAAAGATTGAATTAACTCTACTTATTAATTATTTAATTCCAAATTTAAGTTCTCTTTAATTTGATATACAAATTAAAAAAATTGAGCATGGAGATTTGTCTTATGCTTTGAAGAGGACGTACGTGGACATTAGGGCGCGTGTTAGGGATCTTGTAAGAGGTATGTCTTTAAAATACAGATCCTTCACGAGGAGCAGGTAAGAGATTATTATTTGCAAGGATAACCTCTTCCTAACTAAGTTGTTATACATACATAAGACTTAGAATTTGAATTCTGACAAATTTTCAAGAGACGATAAGAGTTCATAGCACTTACTTCAACTTGATGAGTTGGTGGATGATCCATGATTTTAATCGTTGTATACATATACTCTCTTCATTCAAAATAGTATTTCAAGGTATAATTAATATACTTTTTTAAAAGTATCTATAATAAATAAATCACTTTATATATTTATTTTAAAATGAAACATTTTGTTAAATAATAAGAATAATATGAAAAGATTGTGCTAGTTTTAAAATAAATAATTATTTTATTGAAGAGAAGATTCAATTAAAAATACTTTAAATTTTTAAATGGACAAATTATATATATAAATCATGCTCATACATTAATGCATATATAATAGGGTAAAGTAGCAAATTGAACCATATATTATTTTTCGAGGGGCATTTGATAATCTAAATTATTAGATGATGCAAAATAAATCACGAACTTTAAAAAAAAGTACTCAGTATCTTGTCATTAACTTTGATTGACAAACATTATATGGAGCCCATTGTGGCACGACATGGGCACGACACAACAGCATGATAAAGATGTAAGTTTAACCTCAAATTTTTTTCAAGGAACATTGGGAAGTTCTACTATAAAAAAAAATAGACAGCAAATACATTCCTCTTGATTTTGACCCAACACCATTTATTTTTATTTATGAAACTCACAAAATATTAGTCTCTCCAGTCTTCTTGCCTTGGTTCTCAATCTCAACTTAAAAACAAGAAGTTTAAAGAGTTTTTATATGAAGATATTCACAAGGGCAATGCCAATGAAATAGAAGTTTGATTTTACTATATATGGAAAAAGCTTAGCTTGATTCTAGCTTAATTTAGTTATAAATTATTTCTTCTACTTTGTTAGTGTTGTCTTTATGTATATCTTCATATAAGAACTCTTTAAACCTTTTCTTCTCAAGTTGAGATTGAGAGTAAAAGCAAAAAGATTGAAAAGATTAATGCTTTGTAGCTCTCATAAGTATGAAAATAACTAGTGTTTGGTTAAAATTGAGGGAAATGTGTTGTTTGGACTTTTTTTATAGTAAAAGCTACCCAGTACTCCTCGAAAAATAGTTAGTAACTAAATTCACACCTTTACCATGCTGATGTGATGTGCCCGTGTCATGCCATATGTCATTGTGGACCCCACATAATGTCTATTAGCTGAAATTGATAGTGGACTACTGAATGCTTCATTTTTTAAAGTTCGTGATTTATTTCACATAATCTAACAGTTTAAGTTACCAAATACTCTTTGAAAAATAATATATAACTAAATTTACACCTTCAGCCTAAAAAAGTTGAGTAGATAATTTTTACCTTCTCTTTTTAGCTCAAAAGACTAAAAACTTTTCATGTGCATCACAACGGACAAACTTTATAATTTTGATTACAATCGTTTAAAAGTAATTTAATATTTATTCTAAAATGTTTAGAGTTATATGATATCCTGAGCTAATCACTTTTATTTCTGAGTTTCAGGGCTTAATAAAGCTTATTATTAGCTCTAATTTAAATTTTGTAACTAACAACACTGTTTTTTTCTCATTAGATTGCTATACATAAGGCATGAAAGTCACCAAGTTGGACATATATATCACTGCTATCATCTCAAGATTCAATGAGACATATATTTACATATCACAGAATCCAACAAAGCAAACATAATGCAATAACTAACCCAAAAGTAAGTAACATCATGCATGATTAAAAAAACACACACACGTACAAACACAGTCATGGACACATCAGAGAAGAAATTAAATACATATCACAAGCTAATATAATATATAACAGAATGATGAAACCTTGCTAGTAGCTAGCTGCATTTATAGATGAGTACGTTCTGATCAGTTCTCACCATCTTGTTCAATCTCAGAAGCAGGGTCGTCTTCTTCATGAAAGCAACAATCATGAGAGGAGGCAAAAGTAGGAAAAGTAGGTCCATGGCCATGGCCGAAGGCCTTGACATGATCTTTAAGAGATCGTTTGTGTTGAAGTCGGAGCCACAGAGACAGAACCAGAGCTTGCCGCAGTTCTTCTCGTGAGTTCGCCAGTCACCTTTGACGGCGAATGGCTTGCCGCATTTCCGGCACATGTAGGGTTTGATGCCATGTTTTCTCTTGTAGTGAGTCTGAAGAGTCCTGAAGTCCTTAAGAGGCCTGGCTCGTGGATGCTCAATGTTGTGCTTGCAATCTGGTGCACAACAGTAACATGGAAGTCTTAGCATTCCTGATGGTTGTGTCCCTTTTAGAGAATCTGGTCCTCTTCTGAATTGCGATCCATGTCCCCACATATGCATCTGTAATGCCACCAAAAAAGCCGTGATCATCAGTCTTTTATCTTCCACGTGATTTTGATAGTGATGATACACGCACAGGGACTTCTTGAACAAGCTCTCTTCACACAGGTTGGCTGGCTCGCCATTCTTTTTAACGATAGTTTAGATACTAAGATTTTTTATGATCCACCTTATATGAGTACATATCCTAGTACTATTACCATCTCTCTCTCTCTCTCTCTCTCCATCTATTATAGTATAATTACATATTTGGAAATCTGGGTGAACTCACTCAATAACAATAAGTATTTCAATTACAACTACTAAATTTTATTAATACTTGAAAATTATCAAGATAAATTAACACCCCTCACATAAGCTATAGTCTCCTCTACAAATTTGAAATTTGATGTTTAGTTTTTTAAGTATCATATAACAAAATCTTTGACAACAATTTAATTAAGTCAATAATTATTATCATGTCACGTA